TAAAAAAAAACATCTAATTGTACTGACATTGACTATTACTTTAGAATTTAGAATCATTTAGAATATGTTGACTTAAAATCTGAAATATCTGAAGAATCTGCACATTTAAATTATTTTCTCATAAAGGAATTGAGTTTTTGCCACAAACTCTGATTTTCTGATCACTAAATCTTTGGAAACAAATGTTGCCTCCTTAGATTTCAAACTATGAATTCTGTTAAATCTAATAATCTTAGTTTGAAATATCAAAGGTTTACAACTTTGAGTTCTAAAGATATTGTGGTTTAAATACTAGATTTTGTTCCATAGACTCAATTCCTTTAAAAGATATTCAATTTTAAAATCCACTTTTTTAAAAGCTAAACCAAAGTAACAACTCGCTATTCAGGGCCTGAATAATTCAGGGCCGGGTAATTTGAAAACGCTTGTATTTTCAAATTATCATTCAGATAAAGGTGTACAGTATACACGTTACCATTGGGAATCGAGCATGGCCCTGTTTAAATGGAGGATCACTTGAAATTATCATCGTGTATTTGACGAGCTTAGAAAATAGACACTTCATAAAATGAATTAAAATTTGACAAGGCAAACCACTTTTGCAAAGATGAAGAGATTTGAAAATTATAATTTGTAACGAATTTTTAGTTCTTTTTCAATGTTACTTACAAACAGAGTAAAAAAAGCGGCATTACCTTTAGTTTACAAACCTCAATGAAAATGTTTTCAGGGTTCAGGTTTGGGTTTTAAAAATATCAAATAAAGTAAGACTAATGCTAAATCATTTTTAACACAAACAACGCGAAATGAAATCTATAAAAAATTTTCTTTTTTTCAACAAATCGATTAAAAATCAGTTATTTTGTTCCTATCTAAAGTTTCCTGAAAATATATTGATGAATAAAACATAACACGCATTTTCCAATTGATAAAATACTTTTGCATTTTAGTAAGTATTTACATTTCTAAATTTTTTAACCTAAAACATGAACCATGCCAACTGAAGTTATGATTTCAATTAGTCAAATAAATGTTATACGTTACATTATTATAATTTACACTCTGTATAAAAAAACTTTTGTTTCCTGATTTTTAAAATAATAACCCATTTCTAAAACGTTGAACTTTTAATTATACTAAAAGGGAAAACGTTTCAAATTAACGTTTTCATAAACAGTAATGCATTTCTAAGTTACACAACATTACACTTTTTATAAGTTGAACTTTGAAAAAAAAATCCTTTCGTTGCGATATTCAATCAAATCACAATTAATTTTCCAAACATTAGACTTTCTAGTAACCCATGGGGAAAAAGACTTTCAAGTAGCCCATGGGAAAAAAACATTTCTTGACGTTATTGCCAAACAAGTTGTAGATATTAGAAAAATAGCGTTACATTACCACAAAACTCTAACGTTGGGGTATGTTCCTCCAACATTAATGTTTAAAGTTAACGTTAGGTATGAGCTCCTATAACGTTCACGTTATATAGAATAAATCCAATCGTTTCATATTATTGTAACGTAACGTACAAAAACGTACATTTTACTTTACGTTACACTATCGTTGACATCTCTAGTCTTCGCCCTTTGTAGCGAAACATTAACATACTTGCATACTTTATAGGTGTGGGGACTGACGTTTTCTTAGATTTAAATATTCATTTATTGGTGGCAAAAATACTGATTAATTGAAGTTGATTGCATAATGACATCACATAAATTTAACAATAAAAGGGATCATTCATTTTGCGTACAGTCATGTTTTACCTCCTACATCCTGTATTTGTACTGTACTGCTTGCCCAGGCTAGTTGAAATTCAGCCCGGTCGGTATATAATATGAAATGGAATGTGCCTTGCTATTTTCATTTCCTACATATTTATTGACAAAACCTTTTTTGATGAATTCTTCTTTTCAACTGTCAATTTCCTTAAATTTGAATAGAAGTTAATTCTAATCCAAATAGAATTTTAGAGAAAAATGTTGCAATTTTTGAAGAAATATTTCTTTTGAATTGAGTTTATTGTTTATTTTGAAAAACTCAAAGAAAGAAACACAGAGAACAAAAAAATAAAGAAACTGTTTTATCAAAAATTCTAAAAAATCATTCTTAACTGTAAAAATATTGTGCTTTGTACATCTATAGTTTTCTTTTTCATTTTTCTGGCAAACAACACAATTGCCTCAGCAACAATTAGAAAATGAAAAACGAAGTAGTCATTTTCAATTAAAGTTTCGCGGAATTGTGTGCGTTTATTTTGCGGAAGAAATACAAAAAGCGGAATTTCCGGCCAAAAAAAATTTTCACGCAAAATGCACAATTTTTATCTAGTGTATCTAGTGTATCTTGTGTATCCAGTGAATCCAGTGAATCCAGTGAATCCAGTGTATCCAGTGTATCCAGTGTATCCAGTGTATCCAGTGTGTCCAGTGTATCCAGTGTATCCAATATATCCAGTGTATCCAGTGTATCCAGTGTATCCAGTGTATCCAGTGTATCCAGTGTATCTAGTGTATCCAGTGTATCTAGTGTATCTAGTGAATCTAGGGTGTCTAGTGTATCCAGTGTATCCTGTATATCTAGTGTATCAGTGTATCTAGTGTATCTAGTGTATCTAGTGTATCTAGTGTATCTAGTGTATCTAGTGTATCTAGTGTATCTAGGGAATCTAGGGTGTCTAGTGTATCCAGTGTATCCTGTATATCTAGTGTATCCACGTATCTACGGTATCTAGTGTATCTAGTACATCTAGTGTATCTAGTGTATCAAGTGTATCTAGTGTATCTAGTGTATCTAGTGTATCTAGTGTATCAGGGAATCTAGGGTGTCTAGTGTATCCAGTGTATCCTGTATATCTAGTGTATCCACGTATCTAGTGTATCTAGTGTTTCTAGTGTATCTAGTGTATCTAGTGTATCAAGTGTATCTAGTGTGTCTAGTGTGTCTAGTGTGTCTAGTGTATCTAGGGTATTGAAAAGGACAATTTATGAAATCAATTGTGTGCATTTTTAAAATGACAAATATGAGTATACTTTGCACAGTGGACTAGAGTGAATTTGACTTCCAACCGGACCGATCCGTTATACCGTGTCGCCCTGCGACATCATCCTATGGCGGCCCGGCCTTTATCCTTTGGCGGCTTGGTTTAAACTTAATTGGCACGGCAAGACTTCATACAATAGTTTGTTTAGAAAATATTTGGTCCACTAATAGTCTATTCTGCAACGGAAGAAAGTGTAATAATCAAAATTATAATCAAAATTAGCTGGTATGGGGAGAAAACCTTCAGAAGTTTTCCTCTAAAACAAACCTTAATGTTTCATTAAATACGCCAAATACATCCATTACAGTTATTTTTCTCTTTTTATAAAATATTTCTGTGTAATATTTTTTATTTTTAAGTTGTAATGTAAAAAGTATAAATAATTTTAACCGTATCCTCCTTTAACTTAGAAAATGGTCTTTTATAAAGGAATAACGTTTTTTCACAAATCTCGAATGTTTTAATTCCTATAACTTTGCAACCTGATGGTGCAAAAAAAAACTTAGATTATTTGAAATAACATGGTTCATTGTTTGAAATATCAAAGGTCTACAACATTTGATTACAAAGATAAAGGGACTAGAAAGTTTTAGTTTGTGGTAAAAACTCAGTTCCATTATATTTGAAAAACACCCTGAACAAATATTTTTTCGGAAAAAATTTAAAAAAATTTAAAATAATGGAATAAGAGTATGGCGAACTGTCTTCATTTCTTTTCTTTTGTAGTAATTCATATCCTATGTAGCTCTTTAATTGATCAATTTTAATATGTATACAACACATCTTTTTCACAAAGTTGTAATAATATGTTTTGTTATTATATGGGTTGTGATTATATCTTCTGTTACTGAGCCGTTTTTCACAAATTCTTTACATCAAAAATTTTGTTTTTATTTGTACTTTAAGGGTAAAGTACATATAATGTAATCACTTTTTGACTGTGGACTTAATATTTTCAGTTTGCAGAAAAATATTTATATCTTCTAAAAGCTACCATATTGAACACACAAATCTGGTTTTTATTCAATCAAAACTTCATATTTGCAATGTGTATTTTTTTAACATTATCTTCTCTTTGCAAAGCTTGTAAATATTTAACGACCCATTTAATATGTGTCCTAAAGTTGATTTCTTATTTGAATCAAATGGTTTTCACCCAGTCGACAGGAGAAAAGCTATAGATAGGGCCATGGGTACGTTCCGACTTTTTTTTTAATCGTTCCGTTCCGTTCTAAAACGAGGACCTTCAGCAAGATCATTCCGTTTGCGTTGTTTCTTTTCAATAGTTCCATTCTTGTTCCGTTCGGTTTGTTCTTAGTTGAAGAACCGTCCATCCCGTTCTTGGTGTTCTTAGTCAAAGAACGGTTCCATCCCCTATTCCTTGAAAAGGGGATGTTCAATTTGTAAATTTAAAAAAAAATTAATTCATTTTCAAAATCAATATTTTTTTAGATTTTCTATAAAATGATATTTCAGGGCCCAACAGGTTATATAGCATAAATATGCGAAGTACACCTGCAGTTTGGAAACAGTACAGCAAAATGGCCGTTTTACACTTTTTTCTAGTAAATTCCTCTCTATATATTCTATTCTCTATGGTCACATCACATGTTTGACAAAAGTAAAAATAATTAATTTTTAAATATTTTTCCTCAGTAATTTTTTAATTTTTTAAAATCCTCCTTTGCGCTAAAATCATTAAAGATAAAGGTATACATTTATTTACTTGGGACTATGGGTTTCCAGCGAAAAGGAAAATTAATTTCGCGAAAATTTAGCATTTTGTTTGCTCACGGAAAATGCGAAATTTTTTGCTTGTTTAGCAAGATGCCAAGATGCTAAAGATGTTTACATACTTTAAGATGATATCCCTCATATTGAACCTTTAATATAAAATCCAAAAATTGTTCGGATTAAGAAATCTTGTTATTTTTCAAATCATTTTTTCAGAATAAAACAAATGTTTCTACTGCTAATTTGGTTTTTTGGTTTGTAAGTATAAACACAAATTTGTTAACCCTATTCCTGGTGGGGGGGAAGGCGGAGGATCAAGTTGACCCCCCTACAGTTTTTATATTGCTTAAAACTTTAAGGGTTAGAGAGCTGAAATTGATTGATTTTTCCTAAAAATACTTTCCCTATAGAGGAAAAATTGAACTTTTTAGATAAATGCCTGAAGGTTGAAGCCTACTGCCTGAAATAGGCTGTTCAACTTCCTAAATTAAATTTGCTTTTAATACCACTTAAATTTCTCCAATCATGATGATTCATAGATTTTTAGAAATCTGAAATCCGGGAAAATATTAATCTCTTTTTACATCAGTTTTGCAATAAAGTATTCAATACAACTAACAGCTCTTTTATTCATTCAAATGTAGAAATTTATTTGTTTTGAGAAATCTGCGGAGAAGAGTATTTAAATCATATTAGTTAAATCAGCTTTGCAACATTTTTGCGCAGTGTTTCAATGACTGTGCATTCCAAAAATGTATAAACCATCAGCAGATTTTGGTACACCAGCAGGGATAAAGTAAAACTATAAAATGATACATTTTAAGATTTGTAATTTGTCAGATTTTGTCCAGCAAGAGGAGATCCTATTGATGTCTACTTTTTGAATAAGCACTATGATCTTAGGTGATTATTCATCAAAACACATTTTTTTCAGCGTTTGTTTACAATTTATTTCCAGCGAACGAAAACTTTTGAAAAACAATACAAACATCATTGTTCATATTTCGCAAAATTTTTAACAAAATTTTGCATTTTTCACAAAAATGAGTAAATCTAAAATTTTTTTTTTTTAATTCGAAATTTAGACAAGGGGTGCCTTAGACTGCATGTAAATCAAATTTAATACAAGTGTCCAAATAATTCCAACCCTTCCCCTGAGTACTCTTCCTTTACCTTATGCTTCTTTACCACCTTCTTATATCTTTCCTGATTCATCATCATTGATATGCTTAAAATACGTAGGTGTACAAAACATGGTACACCTATGTATTTAATTAAAATTCTAATTCAAATGGGCAAACCAAATAAAACTACCTGCTCTGGTTAGGCGGGTTCAAACTACATAGTAAATTGCGATTTTTTATATGTATTAGCTTTTGTTTTGTAATTGAATAAAAATATGAAAAAATATGAATGAATTGCATTAAAGCATGAGGTAAGAATGGTCAGTTTTAGCATTTTAAAACGTTAGTTTAATTTAGTTAACATTAAAAAAACCTAAAACTTAATGATAGTTTTAAAACAATCGTTGTGATAACTCTCGTTTTTAAATTGGATAAAATTAAATTGTGATATTTCTTAAGAAGAAAAAAAAACAACGTTTTTAAATCTTTTTGGAAGACAAAAGTTTTGAAAACAATTATTTTCAAACTGGAAAAAATTGTTTTGAAAAGAAAAAAACTATCGTTTTGGTATGAAAATTATCATTTTTGATGAAAACGATAGTTAGTTAGTTTAAACAATTGCTTTCGAAAAATCCAAAACCAAACTGAAAACAATGGTTTTTTTCTTTTGCAAACTATGTCCATCCCTAAACATATTCATGACAAGAAAATATCATTTTGTAACTTTTAATACTTAACTTGTTGCAAGTAAAATCTCATTCGAACAAAAATAAAAATGTGAAAGCTTATTTTTATGGGAAAAAAAAAATATTCAATAGTTCAGTTTTAAATACAAAAGCTCCAATGTTTACATGATATACTTACACCCTAATGTACATTACTGAACAACTATCAACAACGGTGACAAATTTTAAGATTTTTTTGTTTTTGTTTAGGGCCAATGATTATTTTGAAGATAAGGAGCATGAATGTGTCATTACTCCCCCAGGAGCTGAATATAGATATTCACAACAGATGACACTATGCTGGAGGTTGTATTCATGCAATTATAAAATCAACTTAGAGCTTTTTAATCAATTATCAGTGATTTGTGTTTTTAACTGTATTCATGTTCTGATAACTAGCCTCCCCTAAGGCTATAGGTATTAACCACAGAATAAAAATGTACAGAATTCAAAAAGGCTTTCACTCTCAGGTAGAACAATGGCATGCTACATTTCCATGAAAGGTTTAAACTGCCATCTAACAGCCACTGGTTGCCTGTTATACCCATTTATTTTTTCAATTATTTAAGAAACTTGGTTTTCAGGGCTCTTAGCCATATTTCGATTGTGAACATTTTCTCATTGTATTCATTATATACCAAAAACAAAAAAGTTCTGAGATTCTATCAGAAAAAAATTGTGGATTTTCAAAATTTAATGACTTGAGACTTTTCTTTGAGGCAAATTTTTGTAATTGTGAACATTCATAAACTTTCCCTTGGATCATGTGATGTCCCAAACAAAATTTGGGCCCGATCGGTTCAATCGATTGGGTACAAACAGACAGACAAGCAACGTATTCAAATAGATACACTAACTTTTAACATACAAATTTAGTCTATTTTCTAAGGTTTTGTATATTGCATTCAAAAAATCCTTAAATATCCCTGAATCTGTTTTTTGATTTTCCAGTTGTACTGCAGTACACAATATAACCTGCTGTGGAAAATATCGCTTATTCTAGCCTTTAATAGATCTCTGTACAATCTTATTTCAAGTATCAACCTTTTGATCCATTTTATTAAACATTTGTTATGTGAGTAAATTGTTTGCAAAATTTTTCGTTTTTTAGCATTTCGTTTGCTCGCAAAAAATGCGAACATATTCGATTTCTCAAGAATTTTACTTCAATCTGTTTCGTGAAAAGATGCGAAATTTTCGCGAAATAAGAATGGTAAATAATTCGGAATCTAATAAAATGCAAATTATTTGTTTTAAATTTATCAAAAAGACAAAATACAGTTTCAACACCATGCAAAATTTTTGCCAATATTTTTCGAAAACTCCTTTTTAACGAAATTTTGGATAAACTTGTGAATCAGACATGACACCTAATTATTGGATGTAGGGGTTTCAGCGAACGAAACGTTTTGCCAAAAATTGCGAAATTTTGAGGAAAAGTTGGCGAAATATGAACAAAAATTTGAGAATACTTTTGCATTTTTTTGCCAAACGCTTCCTTCGCTGGAAACCCTACCTCCAATTAAAAGGTGTCATCTATGATTCACAAGTTTATCTGAAATCATTATTTAGAAGCACAGTTGTATTTTTTAATTTTCGGGCATTTGATTCTGATATGTATTTCTCACAAACATTTATTAAACCAATGTTTAATGAAAAAAAAAATCATATTAATATGGTAATAAATTTAACTGGCAAAAAAAATCAGAATGGAAAAATTTCCTGAATAACCGCAAGACATAGTTTTCCTCACAATTCTTTATTGATTTAAATGCTATGTAAGGATTTGATATCAGAAATTTAAATCAGTTTAATGTCAGTTAGCTTTTAAATTTCTTTTTATTTTGTAAATTCTGTAAATATTGGCAAATTATTAGTGTATATATTTCAGGCAATACCCAATTAGGTATGAATTTCCAACTGGTCCATATTCTGGTGTGATTTCACTAGGAACTTTAAACTCTGACAGATCAGATTTTGATGTAAGTATCTGTAAACATGATTCCTCATTTATCATCAAACTTTTGTGTTTTTTATAAAGGTAATTTCAGGAATCAGGATCTTACCCTGCAAACAGAGATATGTGTTAACCATTTTTCTGCTGGGATACTCGAAAACCAGTTTTCACGGGGGAGGGGGGGTTGTTCTTATTAAAAAAACCCTGAATTGGGTTATGGAATGATTATAAAGATGATTGTTATGTTCTTTTCTCTCTCTTATTCCATCTTAACAATAATCCACTAATTCCTTCCAAAATGTCGTCTTCATCCCTTATTAACATTTTATCCATAAAATTACTTATTATCTGTAAACTTCTTATACACACGTATTTTCTTCTATCTGTATCTTTATACTAAACTTCAATATTTTGCTTATTCTCTTACAATACAGGGTGGTTCTCAAAAAACATTGATTCCTTTACCCGACCTTCGTGGTTACACTAACTAGCAATATACCAACCTTCATAACACTTATTGATTCCTTATACCAATTGTTAAATTCCTAAATTTCTCTACAGTTGATTTCCAACCCAATCCCAACATCCTCTTAAGTTGATATCCATTCCAAGTCCCAATCTATTTCAACCTACTCCCAATTGGTCTCATCTTATATACCTTATTCCCGAACCAAACCTAATCCCAATATCTTAAACATTAGTTGATATTCGTTTGGGATCCCAATAGTTTGGATTTCAAGTAAAACTTAGGACACTATAGACTTCTATATATAATGCTTCATTTATGACAAAGGACAAGAAAAATATATATTTTAGAAGTATATGAACCAAATAAACCTCTGTAAAAAACCAGCCTGTCTGCATGTTTTTACGCAGTATTATGCTGCCAAGTTAAAGGGGTGTTTAGATCCTTTGAAACAAACATTATTAATATTATCTTTTTATGCTTAAAAGTAACGAGTAAGGATTCATGCTCCAATAAACAAAGAACTGTTTGACCAGCGTACCCTCGCAGAAGAATCATGTATTCTTTAGATTGTGAGCATATCAGATTGAAAAATATACTTCTATAATTTGCATTAATTTGCATAACATTAGATTGCTGATTAGATACAAAAAACTTTATATATGCTATTCTACCATATCAAGCTAGCCCAGCACATCAGTTTAACAGAATATTATCCATTAATTTTTCCAATACAAACCATAGTTTTTGGAAAGCTCTCAAATAGGCAAATTCAGATTTGATACAAAAATGGATACTTGGTAAAAAGAATTGTAGAAATAAGAAAAAATATTAATCAGATAGTTGTTTAGTTTGCATTTTTGTTTACTTAACTAAGGTTCAAGCCAATCTATCTAAACCAATCAATCAAAAATTAAAAAATCAAAAAAACACTGTTTGTATATTTTTTCACTGTTGCATATTTTTGCAAAAAGAGGGCATATTTTGAAATTTTTTTTATTCTTCTTGATATCAGCTTTACAAAATCTATGAATTATCAAGATTTAACAATTTTTTGTGGTTTTTTTAATCAAATTTAATCTAGGAGGTAGAACAGAAATGTGTAAATTTTTTTTTTATAATTTTAAACGATATAAAAAAGTCAAGTTGATCACAGTTTGTTATTTGATTAAAAAGTTGGTGTTAACACATACAGTTATGTTATTACAATTGCAGAGCTTAATTCCACTTGACAACTAGTTGCTCCATCCAGTTCTATTTTGAGTGTATGGGTGTAGATGTGTTGATTTCTGAATAATACCACCATGTTGTTTTTCCAGAAAATGTTTGAATTTGTTTAACAATAAAAAATTAGCAATATTTAACTGTTCCTTTCAAGGTGTGTAGACTACAGGTATGGGTGATTTCTAGTTCCTCGGCAGTCCAAATGCGTAACGGAAACTAGTTCTTCAGCAGTCCAAATACATAACGGAAACTAGTTCTTCAGCAGCCCAAATTTGTAACGGAAACAAGTTTTTTGTAAAGGAAACTAGTTCTTCAGCAGTCCAAATATGTAACAGAAACTAGTTCTTCAGAAGTCCAAATATGTAATGGAAACTAGTTCTTCAGCAGTCCAAATATGTAAGGAAACTAGCTTTTCAGCAGTCCAAATACATAACAAAAACTAGTTCTTCAGCAGTCCAAATACATAACGGAAACTAGTTCTTCAGCAGTCCAAATACATAATGGAAACTAGTTCTTCAGCAATCCAAACACATAACGGAAACTAGTTCTTCAGCAGTCCAAATATGTAATGGAAACTAGTTCTTCAGCAGTCCAAATATGTCACAGATAAATATACGTGACTCATATCCCATGTACCTGTTGTCTACATCATATGTGTAAATCAACTTGTATGTGATGTTCAGTTTAGTTCACAAGATAAACCTGAATTCCCCAGGCTTTTTTCTATTGTGCACAGAATTTGTTTAAATTGATCATAAACTTAATGATTAATTATAGTCAAATGTGTGATTTAAACTTCCCTGCTATTTTACTGTTATGTTATAGGAGTTATTTAAATCTGAATCATTAAATGTTTTGCAGGAAGGTCTTCTCTATGGCAATTGGGATAATGGCCCCTGGTTTGGGTTCAAGTCCAAGTAAGAAAAACGTGATTGTACTATCAGTAAAACCTCTTTTTACCAGCTACTTTGACATCTCATGAACATTAGCAGATTCTTAATCATTTAACCATTTATCTTGTTATAGAGATAACCCTGAACATATCTGGGTTGGGATGGGAACAAATGTTCAGGAACTACAAATATGGCAGCATACCTGTCTCTCACTCGACATGAAGACAGGGGATATCAGGGTAATAAACAAAATATTCTTCAAATTTGTATTGATTTTTTATCTTAAGTTGTCTGAGAATGGAGTAATTACATTTGCCACATCCTCAAGCTTGCTTAAAGGCTTCAACACCAGGATCAATGACACCTTTAAGATTGCAGCTCCAGGGACCAGATTTAATGAATAGTGTGCAGGAGCTGAAACTGAGATTGCATTATCATTGAGAAATTTGTAAGGTTTCATTTGAGACATATCAGACATTTTAACGGTGCATATTAGTTTGGTATTCTCTTACCACCAGAAATTTGCAATAAATTGGCAAACTTAAATTAGCAAACTTTGATAAGATCACATATCAAGTTATATAACCTTTTTAAGATCAATACTTGTCCATGCAATAATTAACACCCAAAGTAATAAATATGCTTTCATTAGATTAATTAGATTTATTTACATATATTCATAAATGCATACATAATCATAATATGGAGATAATCTGATATGATGACTTAATGATCAGCCATGATCCCTTTACATATTAGGTCTCTTAGCTTGATCTTTGAGCACTTTCTCAGTAAGTCTACTAAGTCTTACCTGCATGACTGATATATTGTTCAGTCCGTCAATCAGCTCTCTATCTCTTTCATTCCAGGTTTGCTGGCTGATCTGCTCGTGCATGATCTGACGCAGATCTACCACCTGGTTGAACAACCTGCTACTGGTCTCATCTCTACTTGAGTCATGATGCAGCCTGTATTCACGCTCCCAAGCCCTCCCTGTGTCCCATACATCAATACAAGGGACTACAGGGGGTTGTTGGGAACCTGGGCCCCCAGGAGCGGGGGACAGGAGGGTTCTAACCTCCTTATTGAGTTCCTTCAGACTACTTACGACGTCCTGGAGTATCTTCGGGATATCTTCCATCTCTTCATCATCATTCTCATCCTCTACTACATCCTCAGCTACGTCTCCATCCTCTGAGGCTGGAGCGGTGACAATGGGAGCATTCCCACTGACTAGAGGAGCAAGGTCTGCTGGATCAACTTCATCCTCATCCAGTTCAACTTCCGCAACATAAGCTGGGTTGCGTAATATATAACAGGAACTTGATTCATCTTCTTCTGGGTAGCTCGTTCAAGTTGGTCCTCTCTGTAAGTCTTGCAAGTCCCGGAACGATAGTGGCAGACTGACATGTATAGTTACGTGTCTACTCTTCTAAGGTTCATGCTGTACTGATTACTCTGGCATCCGTTTGTATTCAAGGGACTGTTCACTCTTATCAAGAACAATCTAGGATACAACATTAGTTCAGCATGAGCCCAAATGCAATCTTTAAGATCATCATAGAATGTCCATTTAGGAGGGATGATTTTGAGAATTGGTTTTATTTAAACTATTTAATGATATGTAACAAAAATTCTTCAGTAAACTAATTAGTTGTTTAGGAACAGGTTGAGCTATTGGTTTCTGTAATGTCTCAGTGTTCAAAACCATTTTCTTTAAACTTTCTGGAATTATTAATGAAAACTCTAAAAGACTACATTTGAAGAATGCGAACAAATTCATAAAGAATGAGAACATCAATATAATGATGACAAAGAAATAATTGATTCTAATAAGAAAAATAATTGAAGCAAATACTAAACTAAGCAGTTTTGTTGAAACCTGGAGAAGCTGAAAAATCTATCTGATTATACTTATGCTAATAGAAATTCTTTAATGTTAAAAAATGTTCCTAACCATATAATCAGTTTACTGTAGAAATTTAGTAACATTTTTCCTTGCCGTTTTTGAAAAGTTTTATAACACTAATTTTCAAAATCATCCCTCCAAAATAGAAAATCAATGAGGATTTAAATATTGAATTTGAGCTCTTCCTGAACTATTATGCACCATTAAAACTTCTGATCATTTTCAATTGAATCCTTAAAATTTTTCAATAATACTACAATCTCAGTTCAACAAACAAACATTGCCAGTCACTCCCTTTAAATTTAAGGAGAGGTGGTTGAACAAAGTCTATGCGTTAAAATCATGTCTTCTTATTGAGTAAATCTGGTCCAAGGATGTAGTTGGAGAAAATTGCATTCCAAATATCAATCAATTTATGGGAAGGTAACATTAAATTTTATATCTTATATTTTAAATAAATTTAATGCATGGTGAAAAATAAATTCTATCTGAAATTTTTATAATCCAAATTTCCATTATGAAAACATAGTAAAAAGCTGCATGACAATATGGTTTCTCCAAGCAAATAGTCCATTATGGCACCAGATTAAACATAAAAGTTCAACTTAATCGGTTCTTGATGAATAGGTTACAGATTTTCAAGTCTTCAGCACTGTTTTAGCTGAGGAAGAAATGAATGCTATTACAGGGAAGTACTTGTTACATCAAATGTTCACTGTGTAGGGATCTGATCTATGAACTAAACGGATTCAGATCTAAAAGTATTCTGATGTGTAGAGAATTAGATCTAAAAATGTAGAAATTGATCAAAAACTATTATTAAGATTGAAGTCTACACTTTACAAAAACAAATTGGGAATTTGATTTTAAATTTGTAAAATATGATCTAAATTATATTTTTTTTTTAATCTCAACAATTTCAACAAATTCTGAACTTTATTTTCATAATTAAAATGTTTAAGGTTCAGTGTATGAGAAGGGTTCAGTCAGGGTAGAGATGAGTAAGATTCAGGGTAGAGATGAGTTGGATTTAGGATATAGATGAGTAGGATACAGGGTAGAGATGAGTAGGATTCAGGGNGATTCAGGTGTGAAATGAGTAGGATTCAGGCTAGAGATTAGGGGAGCACCAAACACAGATACATTTGCATGCCGCAATGAATTTTATGAAGAGAAAGATTAGTATATATTTTAGGGTTAGGCTGGGTTACAACACTTTCCAGGCCAAGCGCTGCGGCTAGGACAGGCTAGGGGAGCCCCTTGGCTTAAACTTGATCTCTCTGTCTTATAATTCATTGCAGCATGCGCACATAACTGCGTTTGGCCACTGCCAGAGATATTGAGTTGGGTTCAGGTTAGGAATGTGTAAGGTTAAGGTTAGGAATTACTATTAAACGGAATGTTCGCCAAAAATTAAACGGGGGTATAGGCTTACTTTGAAAATTATTGATGGTGATCAAAACTAATCTTACTTGTCTGTTGCATCTCTAAGGAGATAATTTGTTAAAAACAACTCATACTGAAGAATGTAGCATTCATAAAATTAAGAAAGTTGCAACATACAACTTTGATCGTAAAAATTTTCAAACATTCCTGGAAAATATGAAAATGTTGTCTTCATTATCAAAAATTCCTGAGACAGAAATAAATGTAACTCACAGATCATAAAAAATTAAAAATGTATATGAAATATCAACTATATATGAATGGGTTGAAAAAATATTGATGATTATGGGTTTTGATATTTAAATGAATCTTCTCCATAGTCCACCTGAACCTTACAGTTTAAAAACATTTTAGACCCTTATTCTTCACATTTTAGATCAAAACCTACACATTAAGATCAATTTCAAAACATTTTGGATCAAATTCAAAACAGTTTAGATCAAATTCAAAACATTTTAGCGAATTCAAAACATTAATTTTAGATCTAATTCAAAACATTTTGGATCTAATTCAAAACATTTTAGATCTAATTTAAAACATTTTCAATCTAATTCAAAACATTTTAAATCTAATTCAAAACATTTTAGATCTAATTCAAAACATTTTAAATCTAATTTAACACTTTTTGGAAACATTTTCATTTTAATTTTTGCCAGAAAATATGTTTTTTTCAAAAATTAAGTTTTGATCAATTTTTACATATTTTTTGAAAAAAAGTGGGAATTTCATGTAACTTTTTTAGATCAAGTGCTTGTAGGGTAGATTCTTTTAAATCAGATTCCTTTAGATCAAAAGGGTTATCGATCAAATTTTAGACAGTAGAGTGTAAACTTAGCTGTAAGTGACCCTTTATTCATTAAATGAAAGGCTAGACACACATTAGTTCTCTTTAACCTGTATCTGTTAGAAGGTAGATAACACTGATTTTCTCTCATAAATATACTAGTTACTTTTACAAAGAAATTGACTTTGAAAATAGTCCATTTTTGAGGGATAAAGAAGGATATCTCATTAATTCATTAAGAAGAATATCTCATTATTTGTTTCTATCAATCTTGAATTTAGGTTTACTTGGAATTAGGATGACGGTCGAATTGTTATTAAATCATAACCATATAAATATTCTAGGTTGTAAATTATTTCTGGAGGGAGATATAATTAGTTGGAAGAATATTAATTGGAAGTTGATTGGGAGAAAGAAAATTTCTGAAAAGCAGGTTAAAATAATAATAGTCGAGAGTTATTTAAATTGTCAGAATAAATTAAAATTATAATTGCAGTCATATAAGCAGTTAAAGTTATCATGTCAGATTGTGGTTGATATGTAAATGTAAAATGCAAAATGCAAAAAATTGTTTTGGGAAACCACAAGGCACTATCATTCTTGGTTTGTTGTAGACTTTAGACTTAGAAGAAGAAGTTTGCAAACCTACAAACACCACTATATATTTCATCCCTTTAATGAGAAGTAATCAACCCTGGGGGTTTCACACTTGCAGGTAAATAACAATTTTGATTCTCCCCATAAAAACTCATGTATGATATCAATGCAATAGGAAGTTTTCTGGGCGCCAACTAACCTATGATACTAAGGAAGAGTTCAATGCTCTCACAAAGTACTTCTCAGCTTCTAAATTCATGAAATCTGACTGCAGCACACAAGAGGCAGATAACCCATCTTATCTCATTAGGTCAGAACCTACCCAGCTGGAAAATTATTTTTTCTTTCCACTGTTTTCTTATTTTCTACTGTGATCGGAACTCTTTTTTCATCTGCAAATGTCTTTTTGTGGAGCTCCGGCATCGAATGATTAAAAGCCATCTTTTTTTAGTCTGCAATTGTTTGCTGTCGGAGTTTGACTCCATCGTCGGATCAAAACTAATTTATCAGTCCGTCTGAAGAACTTTGAGGATGAAAAGACAAACTGTTTCTTCCGATATGAAATCAAAAAGGATGATAAAAAACGAGGGCCCGCTGAAAAGCGCGCTAATTTGTCAAATCTTAGCCAGTTTAATTAATTTCTTCAAGATGTAAGCACGCTGCTCAATTTGTTCAGAAACTTTCTACATGATAAGATCTGCATGACCTGTATAACAATTGCAACATTTTTTAAGTCATTTTTCTCTACAGGTGTCGGTCTACCGATCGTTAGACCGATCGGTTCATCCGACCTGTTTACACTATCAATCTCCGCTTCATGTACAATCGGAATAGATCAGAATAGAAAATCGGAGCTATTTCATTCCTACGTCGGAATTCCTCAAGTCAGAAATCGGAATTCCGATCAAGAGAAATTTTCCAGCTGGGTAGTCATTGAATTTATGAAAAAACATTTCTTTAAAAATGAGAATATTCTTAAACAGACTGTAGTTATGATTTCAATTGACTCTTCATTTGAAGAGGGCCATGCTTAATTTACTTTGGTAATCTTGAAACCTTTAGCTGAAAAGTGTTAAGTAAGATTATTACCAATATTGTTTTCCTGCTGAAGAAATCCACAAGTCTCTTTTAAAAGGAATCACACATGATAATTATCATTCAAATGTAGTTTATGCAATCACATATCCAGAACCTTTAAATATTGCTTTCTGATATTTCATTCAATTTGATGAATTTAGAATGAACTTGGTATTTTTTAATCATTTAGAATTAATTTTGGCACTTCAGACGAAGAAGAAGAAGGAATCTGGAAACATGTTCATAATAGTAAACAAGTAGACATTTATTTATTATTTTTTATCATTCTTGACAAAATACAGTTTCAACTTTTTCTAGTCTCTTTTAGTTTCTTGCATTCCATGAAACATTTTTGAATATATGAAAACTGACATTACTTGGATCAAAAAAGTGGTAATGCGAGTTATGTAAATATAGAATTGGATATAGATTTATTAAATGCACAACTTTTAACGGTATGGGATACAGGAGACCACAAATCTATAATTTAACTATCTTGAAACTTTATGAGTTGTTTTTTTCATACTTATTAATCTAAGAGAAAACAAATTTGATGAATAAACCCTTTACTTCACTTCATTGGAAAAGCTTTAATCCATGCTGCCTTCATTGTAAATATAGATTTGAAATCATTATTTATGTAATAAATCCTCTGAAAATATAGATTTTTTTAAGAGACCTTTCCATCTCTATTATTCACCCCTTATGCTTACACCACAGTATTAAAAGGGGTGTGATGAGTCCACTTAAGAGAATTACATAAATAATTTATTAACACTTGTAATGTGGAAGTTTATCTTAACATAGTTAAAAAAGGTATACATTTTTTTCAAAAAAAGGGGTTTTCCTGATTTAAATTGCATTCTCAATTTAGAACTAGTTCCTGATAATAAGAATGGGCTCCTGAAATTCAACCTTCTTTTCAAGCAATAACTTTTTTACTAATCCTTACTATATTTTTAATGTGTTCGTTCTTTTTACGGAACAATGGGATTGTTCTTAAAAGTTCTTTTTGTTCTTTCATTATAACTTTATCTAAATTAGTTTTAGCTATTGTAAGAAAGTTCTTATTCAATTTCATAGATGTGTAAAATGTAATTCATTTGTGATGCTGAAATGAGTAATAATAGTTTTTGTCTTGCCTTGATAGAAATCCTATTGTTTTCATATAGATTGATTATCTGAACTGGCTGCCCAACAGACCTTATGTTGGATCTCAAGCTTACAACTGTCTTACATTCTGGGGAGACTATATTCCATCGAATACTACATATTCTGAACCACAACATTCTGCCATGGTAGCAGACTATGTATGTTCAGAACCCTACAATTGCGCAGCATGCTTAGTCACCAACAACAGAAGGTAGTTAGGGGATGTATTAAGGTCAGAGGTTCTGGGATCCATCTTTAATGTGGTAAGTCTTATCTGACTGTATACCTTTTTTGCTATTATCTTAACCTTTGATCTAAATTAAAGTAACTTAATTTAACAGTTAGTCCACTGGGTATCAAATTCAATCTGAAAATTAATGCACCGTTTTGGTTCCAGTAATTCATGAAATATTTGATTGCTTCTTAAATTAGGAAAATATATGTTCGAGGACTGTGTCAATCCTCGATGTTTAACAGTGAGTACTTGTTTAATATTAATGATGATGGAAAAGTTCTGTACCTTGGCACTACCACTTCCTTTATCATCTTCGATAAGGTAAACAAAAAAACTGTTAAAATAAGGTAAACATGATTATTTCCATATGCCCTGTAGGCAAAGCTTGAATGGCTTTGGTATGACAAGAAGGAAAATTCAAGTGTTGCTAAATCTACATCTACTGAAGATTCTTTACTCCTTGGTGTGAATACTTTTGATTTTAGGTAACAATTTAAGGAGTAAGATAATCTTAGGATATTGAAATAATCTGAAATAATTCTAGTGGTGTAAATGCAGACTCTTGCAAGAAGATTGGTGAGTCCATGTTAAAGATGATAACATTCACTACATGTTCAGATACACAATTTACATGTAATGACGGTCAGTGTATTGACATGGAAGAGAGGTATATAAGAGCAATAAAATTGAAAAATTGACTAAAGAAACCCCTTTTCTATATTACACATGTTAATAAACTTAAACTGATTTCAGATGTGATCAGTCTGTAAATTGCATTGATGAATCGGATGAGGATAACTGCAAAATGATTTTCAAAAAGGATAATTACAAGAAGACCATAGCTCCCTTTAGGATTCAGTTTGAAATAATTAGAAATTAAACTATTTCTTTTAAAGTGGTTAAAAATTTTGTATCTAACAATAATTCAAATAATTCTCTTATTCAAACTAATATTAGTCTCCTAAACAAAGAAATTGTGCCAGTTACGGTTAATGTGTCAGCAACAATCAACGACATTTTGAAAATAGAAGAAATCAATCATATTTTTACCCTCAAGGAATATAAATGTGGCTTGGAATAGGAATTTTGCATGCATAAGCTTAAATACTGATCAAAATGGTGAATTTGTTTAAGATAGTTTACTTGTTCTTAGAAGCACACTTTTGATTCAATGTGAATGAAGCTATATTTGGTCAAGGAAAAACACAAATGATCAGACTTTTTGTACAATTTGATAAATCTAAAAGACCTAGTATTTGAGTAGTGGTAGCCTATTAAGTATTTGGTTTTTTTCGGTAACAACAGCCCAATAATAAATCTTAAATTATCATATTTCAATGATATCATGTGTCAGCTATTATTAATAAAATATTTGAAAATTTTCTTTTAGAATGAACAAGAAGTTGATGTTTTTCGTATTTAAACCTGATTTAAGAAATTGACCTGTTTAAACACAGATGACTTTCTTTCTCACGCAAACCGACTGCTAGATTCTAACTTTTCAATAATTCACTGGGATTTCTGGGAGAAAATGAATCAAACTATCAAATACTGAAAAAAAGTTACATTTTGTAAAAGGCAATTTAAAAATGATTTCAAAAAATATTTAAGATAACTACAATTAAGGTACTATTAGATGCTACAATCCAATTTAGTATTTGAAAATTTTAAAATTCCATGACTATAAATATATAAATAAGCATTAAATAGTGTGAATGCAAAGGTATCATACCTATGTGCTGGAATTCTAAATGATAAAACAGTGTTTTCTCATGCCACAGTTTTATTTAAAAGTAAGACCAGTACCAATGAATGGCTAATAGGCTATTTAGTTTACCCTCAAATTACTCAATTCAGCGAACAGTTTCTTTAATAATTGTTCATTATTATTAAAATCCTCAAAAATTGAAAATGAGGTACCTTCATTAACAAAGCTAAAATTAACTTCTTCATATTCTAGTTCTAGAAAACACATTTTTTCAAAAATGATTTGTAAAATAACTACCATTTTGTTACAGAGTTTTTCAAACAATTCAGAAAAGTGGAAACAGAACATATCAATATTACAGATTTATAATCATTTTCATTTTATTTAAAAATTCAATGAATAAGATATTAAATTTTATTTTACTTTTTTATAATTATCAAACTTGACATGGAAAGGCTGAATATTGGGAAAGATTTATGCAGATTTATTATTAGTCATCTATTTTGTTAGATTTAAAGAACCACAAAATATTAATTAAAGTTTTCTTTGATCTTGGAATGGTATGATTATCGCTTGACTTATTACAATCTGAAGAATGCAACATCAACAAATTTTCTGTCGGCAGATGAAAGAGACCAAATTTGGATTCCATTGATTGTATTTGAGAACACAGAAAATAATGAAGCTACTTTGTAAGTATTACAATTCACAACTTTAAATCAAAGTTTTTTCTTCAAAACTCTAGAAAAATGTAAGTAAGGAGTTAATTTTTAATATAATAGTGTGCACATAGTTCTTCCTAATCTACATAAGTTATACCCTCTAATAATGTTTTTAATTGCAATCTACAAGATATTATGCAAATTGGTTTTTTAGGTTTAAAGTGAACAGAAGAATAGGTTTTAAAAAAAAAAATTCCTTTTCCTTATTAAAAAAGCTTTGCATTAATTTATAAATAGATCCAAAAAACTGATAAATATGTTGAACCAGTGTTTCAAGTTATGATGCAAATTTAAATATTTTTAATTGATGAGAAACTTAATTTTTTCAAATAAAAGTTTTTGTCATGGAAATAATGAAGATAAGAAAGGTCAACCAGGCTGCGTGCATATAAGGGTATCATTACCTGGATATGTAAGAAAACCACACAGAGAACACAGAAGGGAGAGCAGCTGAGTCACAGAGAGGAGGGACCAACTCAGTTCTGCTGCTAGAAGAAGGAAGCACAAGGTGTGACAGAGTATAGAGTAGAGATGTCAACGATAGTGTAACGTAACGTAAAATGTACATTTTTGTACGTTACGTTACAATAATGTGTAACGTTTGGATATATTCTGTATAACGTGAACATTTAACGTTAACGTTATAGGAGCTCATACCTAACGTTAACGTTAAACGTTAACGTTAGAGGAATATTCCCCCAACGTTAGCGTTTTGTGGAAATGTAACGTTATTTTTCTAATATCTACAACTTTTTTGACCATAACGTAAAGAAATGTTTTGTTTCCAAGGGGAGCTTGAAAGTCTAACGTTTAAAAAATGAATTTTGATTTGATTGAATATCGTAACGAAAGGATTACTATTTCAAAGTTCAACTTATAAAAAGTGTAACGTTGTATAACTGAAAAATGTATTACTGTTTATGAAAACGTTTTGAAACGTTTTCCCTTACAGTAAAATGAAAAATTCAACGTTGCAGAAATGGGTTATTATTTTAATAATCAGGAAATGAAAGTTTTTTTTTAAAGAGTATAAATAATGTGCAACGTAACTTTTCAAACGTTAATACTTTTGATGAACACTATCGTAACGAAAGCTAAAATCTAGAAAAATCAAAACGTTGACATCTCTAGTATAGAGATGGGTTAACTGAATTCTAAAGTCCAGTGGTGAGATTCTGACAAGACCAGAATTCAGAGAGTTGAATGTCTGGTGTTGAGTGTCCACAGATTGTTTAGTCTAAAGTCCAAAATCCAGTGCTCAAATTGACCTTCAAGTAGATTATTATAAATTATTCCATTTAGTGTATTACTTCAAATAGAAAAGTTCAACTATTTTGTTCTTATACTGGTGGGCAGTTTTATATCTCCTAGAATATGTATGCCCTTTTTGAGTAACTTTTGGTAAATGTTTCAATATTTCAATTTAAAATATGGTACAAACAAGTTTCTTCATCCCCAATCATTGAAATCATATTTCTATGTGTCCTGATGATCTCTATGAGCCTCTTTCCCATTGAATAGGTTTGATTTCTAATCATAGTTTGTTCTTCAATGCTCTTTCCCTTCTTCGTCTATCATCTAACCTTAAATGTTGGATAACTTATTGGTTCTAGAAACAAACCATTTTAAGGAGTTCAGAGTTCATTTCCCATTTAATACCTTACTTCAAATAGAAAAGTTAAAGTATTTTGTTTTTTGATTGGGGAAATTTTGACAAATGTATTAATATTTCAACCAAAATAAAGTACAAAAATTTCTTAATCCTCAATCAATGAAATCATATGCATTGCGGTCTTCCGGCTGTCTGATTATCTCTAGGAGCCTCTTGCCTGTGGAATAAGTTAGATTTTTTAATTTGTTCTAGCCTCACACTTAGTAGATGAAGCTGTCTCTATTGAAGCATACAGCATTCCCTGAGCTATAATGGTTGTGGGAGCGTTAAACTTTCTTCAACATAATTGCCTAAATCTTCTTTTAGGTTTTTTTAATCAAGACTAGGGTTTCCAAATTTTCGTACAATCTCTTTAGTGAAAATTTTGTTTAGCCAACTATAATAAGAACAAAAACAAAAATTTTGTTAAAAATTTTTTGCTTAAAATTTTCATGAAATTTGTTTAAAACTTATGCAAAATTTGTTTGAAATTTTTGACCATTCATTTAAAATTTAATTTTTTTGCACAAATGCAATCTTTCAATTTCAAAATTTCAAACATTTCTGTTCATTTTTTCGAACATTTTTTGCTAATTTTGTTCGAAATTTTCCTGAAATTTGTTCAAAACTTTAGCAAAATTTATTAGGCTTTCCTTAAATTTTTTTTTTGTTGCAAAAATACAGTCTTCTTGGTGCAAAATTTGAACAAAATTTTCCCAAAAACAAGTTCAAAAATGCATCAAAATTTGCAACAATTTTAAATTAAAATGGACAAATTTTGATAGTTCATTTTTGCAAATTTCATTCAACAAAAGTTTTGTTTCCAATCGAAATTTTTTTCACAAAAATTGTGCAAAGATTAGCTTATGTTCCAAGTAAAAATTGCACAAAATTTTGATGTTTTTGCGCAGTAATGCGCAAAAGCTATTCTGCAAAAATTCTGAAGAAAATTTTGGTTTTTGCGTATTTTGTGATTTCCTTATTTATTTAAATTTCCAGAAACAATTCCAGGATATGATAAATAAATTCAAAATTAATGGTTCCTAAATTTATGCAAGGGAGAATTTTCTTGTTGGAATACAGGCTTATTTTGGGCCTCAGAATTCAGATTTCAGTATCACAGGCAAAACCGGTACTTGAGGAACAATAATCCTTGGATGAGCACTGAACATCTTCCTCTACCTTGATTGGTCCAATGATCCTGTCCTGAACTTAAATTTTGTGGTTAAAAATATATACACATTTTGAAAAACATGAAAAAAAAACTTTTTTTTTAATTAAAGATGTTGAAAAAATTGTTTTTTAGTCAGAATTAATAATGCTTAAGAAGTAAAAACGCAATGTAGTTTGAAAACTTATTACAAATATAAATATATATAGAAAAATATAATAATAGCTATCCACCTTTTGCACTTTAGCACCTTATGTCAATTACAGACCAGGTATTAAAACTGAAGTAACCATATGGAAAGAAGCTGGATTTTCCAGAAGTCCTCCAAATGTTAGAGAAGAAATAAACATGTTTACAGGTGTAGTGATAGTAATATTATGAAGTGGTAAGCCTATAACTTTTTTGCTGGTTTCCATTGCGCAAAAAAGTGCCATTTAAATGTAATCCTGAGCAATTCTTCAATAATAGCATGCAATTCAACAGAAGCAATCAAATATTTAATAACGATTCTGCTGAATTTAACAATCTCTTAAAAAATTTCTTGCATATTTGTTTAGCTTCCTTTAAAGGGAAGAAATGAAAAATTAATCTTGGTTTCTTATTAATTTTCTTTAAATTACCCTATCAGGGGCATGTATTATGTATGATTTTGCCACTGCTTGTTAGCCTGGTATAATTACATCATCATTAAATTAGTCCATTCAAATCGCTCCTTGACTTCTGATCACATGCACACAATAAATAGAACATTTGTTTACAAATAAAGCATATCAAGAAAATTGGATAATTTGAACGTTTTTAAGGGAAAGAGAACAGAATTGAATTTCAGGAGATTTACACCAAGACATTTAAATGTGAATATCAGTTGCAACTTTATCCTTTTGATACACAGGTTCAAAATTCAAAACTTAGTTATAACTAATTATTTCAACTCTTAAAAATATAATTTAGAAATGCCAAGTGATAATGAGAGTAAGATATCTTGAGATGAATGTGTTGAATTTAGCTCCTGATCAGATCTTAATGAAAGGGAACACAGTCCTAACTCAATATATAATTACTGACTGGAAATTAGAATACATTGATAAAGGTATTCATAGTTTGACTTTGTGAAAGCCAAATTTTTTTAAAGCACAAGCTTTTCTTGTTATCATGAGGTTTAATCTGTGGAGTTGCTTTCTAGAAAGTTATGAATTTTTATATGTTAACCTCCTTCCAATATGTTACTATAATAACATTTTTTTCCAATTTTGTGTGTGTTTTAAGCATTTCAAAATTTTTTATTTTAAATTTCTTCTTTTCTCAGAGTCTCCAAGCAATGGTACTGTCATAGTAGTTATTCTCAAGAGAAGAATAATCAATGAGATTCTGACAACCTACCTACCCTCCTTCCTTCTTATCATCATTGTTTATATAACAAATTTCTTTAAACCCTTCTTCTTTGAAGCAGTGGTTACTGTAAACTTGACAGCATTATTGGTTCTTACAACGCTGTTTATTAGTGTTTCAGGTAAATAAAAAAATTAAGAGAATACAGACTTCCTAGAATGTAATTAAAACATTTGTGTCAACTTTTTTATCTTAATTTATTAAATTAAATAGGTGGTCTACCCCCAACTGCCTATGTCAAAATGGTTGATGTTTGGTTAATATTTGCCCAGATGATTCCTTTCTTTGAGGTTAGCTTACACAACATTCATATCTAATTGAACTAACAGTGTCTCTGGAGGAACCTTTTTTGAGAAAGTCCCAAAAAATGTATTTTTTTGTCTGTTTCTCTAATTCTCTAAATATAAATATCTGATGTGGGTTATTAACAGTCCTTATTTTAAAATAGGTCATGAAAATCTGTCAAATTTAGGGTTTCAAATAAAATTATTCAAATAAAAGTTTTCATTCAGATTTTAATGTTCTAAAAAACATTAGTTATCAAATTTTATTTATCTTTTATATATCTACACTCTTAAGGAAGAACAGGGTAATAGAAAAACATTTTTTAAACTTACCTAAACTTCTCTGCAAACTAACATAAGAGTAAATTATCTAAAAAAATATAGAGCCAATCATGATCACAAATAATATATTCTTACATTTGAGAATGTTACATATAGATGTGTTGGGCATTAACTGTGTAAAATTGCATCAACTCCATTTTTTTAGAATCTATACAATCAATTCAAAACAGCTCTGTTACATTGAATCATGAAACTGGCTGTGGTTCTCAACACTCTATTTTTCCATATACTCTGAATAAAAGCACTATTTGGGTTTTTAAACTTTTATGTTTGACTTCATCTTTCTTAGAAATGATCACCATCAAATATTTTCTGACATAAGCCTATATACCCCTTTTTTACATCCTAATAGGTTCTCCTACACACATACATGGACAGCATGAGGAAAGAGGAAGAGAGAACAATCAATCATCATGGTTCAGTTGAAATAATTGCTAAACAAAGAACTGATGGCACTGAAATAGAACCTCCATTGGTGAGTGCATAGTTCTATATATTCTCCCAAAACTAGGGTCTCAAGGTGTAAAAACCTTTAATAATTCTATAGATAATACATATTTATATATGTATATATATATATATATATATATATATATATATAAATTCTTTTAATTATTCTAAAATAAGTTTTACCGCAACTCACCACTTCCTGGGTTAATACACATACCGGCCACAAGGAGCACAGAGAAGAAGACAACAGTAAATAAATTCATTAATATCATTTTATAGCCTGTTTAATTAATATGTTCCTAAAAGTACCAAACTTTAATTGTTTTAAAAACTTTAAAAGGCAATAATTAACAATATTTTAAGAACCTTATGTACCCAACAAATCTTGTGGATAGAGATGAGAGGAATGAGGTGAATGCCATATGGAAATTTTATCAAGCTCTAAAAAACGATGATTTTCAAATCATTATTGGAGAATTTGCAGGTTATTAACTACTTAAACAAATTAGTAAATGAATATGACTGTAGTATACAAATGGGTTATTATCCTGCATTTTTGAACCTACTCAAAAGTTGGAGCATGACTAAGGTTGATAATTGTTTTTAGAATGATTGGAAAACTATTGATTGCAATTTTGTTTTTCGTTCTCTAAAAACGATAGTATTGTTCTCAGAAAAAAAGGATGGTTCACAATAAACGAACCACTTGTTTTGAATTTTAAAAAACAAAAACCAAACAAGGATACAATTATTGTTGGAACAAATTTTGCAAAAAACTAATAAGTTTTTTAACAATGAATTAAATTTTTTTTTTTTAAAGATAAGTTAATAAATGTTGTCATGGTTTTTTATATCGAGAGAAATTCCCTGACTGTTTTCTGTCCTGATTGAAGGGTTTTCTGACCAAAAAATGATTGTTAATGATTGTCAAAAATTTTAATCAACCTACCTTCCATGATACACCAAAAACTAAAATTAAAAAACGACTTCTTCAAAAACGATTTTTTCTAGAATAATGGTTTTGAGAAACGACCATTTTGTTTTTTGTTTTTTTTGTGAGGTGTTAAAAAAACTGACTTTTTTTTCAAAAAAAGTGTAAATGATCCATCCCTAAGTATGACATTGTAATATTTGTCTAAAATGTTATAATAATATTCAAATAATATATAAATCTGCATTTATAAACCCTCTCAAAAGTTGAATTATCACGTTGTGAGATTTGTCTGAAAAAGTGATGACTAATTTTATTCTGTGCAATCTTCCCCCTTCCCCCTGCTCTATAAATAAAAATATGAACTTTCTTCTAAAATACCATTCTGCAACCTTTTATCAGTAAATAGTTAATGTGAAAATAAATATCCTTTGTTTTAATTATATTACAAACTATTTATTTCTTTACACTTTTTTTATTTTTTTTCAGCCAAAGTTGTTCTGCCTGTGGTTATTTTGCTATTCTCAATTTTCTACTGGACCTATGGACTTTACTATTATTTTGTTGATGAATATGCAAAATAAGCCGATATTTGGGTTCAATACTATATTTATCTATTACTCATATGTATTAGAAGTCATATCTATACAATTGTCTAATCTTATTTAAAATTATAAATTTCTAACAACTTCTTGTCTTGTTTTCACAATCTAATTTTTAATCTTGGCATTATTTTGTCTAAATATTGTGTTAAAAAGGAATTTTGACCCATTTAAAAACAAACAGAGATGGAAGAAGTGGCTTGTTGCAGACAGCCTTCTATCACAACATTGCAGAATAGCTCTGTACACATCTGCAGTAACAATAGCTGCAGGACACATGGGAGAACTAGAATATCCAGAACACAAAGGAACTAGGACTTCCGGGACTCCTAGGAGCACTAGGATATCAAGGACACATAGAAACTAGGACTTCCTGGACACACAGGAATACTAGGATATCCAGGACACAGATGAGAACTAGGATATCCAGGACCCATAGGAGAACTTGGATACCAAGACACATGGTAACTAGGACTTTCAGGACTCACAGGAGAACTAGGACTTCCAGGACACATAGGAACAGGACTTCTATGATATCCAGGATACAGAGGAACTAGGACATCAGGAAGCTCAATCTCCTCACAATGTAGACTTCCAAGATATGGAGCAGCTAGAATATACCAATATAGACCTCCTCTAGGGAATCATATCCTGTAGCTTCTAGAACTGGACAGATTGCTCTCGTACCAGCCCATCTGAACAACCCACTGGAATATTCTGGATACAGAGGAGAACTAGGATATTCAAAATAGCAGATGCTGCCTAAACTTGAGACTGGAGAAGCTGGTCTTTACAGACAGCTCTTCATATATCTAAAGCAGCTGAAGATCACTAGAAAAGAAAGCATTCTGTGGCTTCTTAATTAAACCAAATTGAGGCGGCTAGTTTTGGGTATTGATCCCAATGCCTTATCTTTACATTACCAAGCCTTTGGTTTTCTGTATAAGGAACTTAGTCTTTGATACACACTCTAATTTTCTAAGTCCTTCATCTTTGCAACCCAATGCCATAAACCTTAGATATTTCAAACAATGAATTATGTCTTATCAAATAATCTAAGTTCGAATTATAAAATGTTTGAGTTTGTGGCAAAGACTTAATTCCTTTTTTCCATTTTTCGTCGTCGTTTTTAAATAATTAGAAAAAGATAAGTTTTCAAACTAAAGCCTCCATCCATGGGGGATTTTAAAGATCGAATTTGCGCTCTTTCTGAAATCGAAAAAAGTCTAATTTATAGGTCTCAAATAAATCCTAAAAAATGTGTACAATACTGCACTCTCAGCTCAACTTAAAGACGTTTTACCTAAGATTTAAAGCCCGCCACCCCCCCTTCCTCAATTCTAGCTGAGATATATCCGTGAAATAACTGTATATACAGGATTACGTATCTATATATATAAAAAGTTGTAATCTCTAATTTTTTGTGCAGAAATTTATCCGATAATTTAAGATTTATTTGCAATGCTGCATTTTAACATTATGATAAAAAATGTAAAAGTAAATATTAATTACTTCCCCTTCGTTTGTTCACAATTTTAATAATGGAAATTCTATCATTTTGCCAATAGTTTAATCATGCCTTAATACCTTATTTTACCTATACCAGACTAAATCTATATTTAGACCTACTTCCAGTCATTGAATTTCAACATTCTATAAAAACACCTTTAAAATTTTTTTTTGCATTTTTTACTTTTTTTCCTTGATCTAACCAATAATAAGTATTCTTAATCAAATTTTCAAAGAAAAATACAAAAAAAAATTCTTCAGCCGCTAGTGGGTTAAGAAAAAACACTTCTTATCCCTATTTCTAATATGTAGAGGTCTCACAAAGTACAACCACCTGATATTTAAATTCTTCAATCAATGAAATGTAAAAAATAGATGTTTTCTTTATTGATTATAACAATTTTTAGCAAATCAAATGTTAAGAACATGAACATGGGGGGGGAAGGAGGAAAGCCCCTTGTTTACACTCCTGTTTCAGTGGAAATTTTTAAGAATAAAGAAAATAAAGAAAATAAGTTTTTGTCAAAAACTAAAATTTTCTAATTTCTATATCTTCTCAATTTGATGGTGTACGTCTTTGATTTTTCAAACTTAGATTTAGATTATTAACAGAATTATTGGTTTGAAATATCTAAGGTCTGCTACATTGAGATTTGGTTGTAAAGATATGAATTAGAAAATCAGAATATAATTAGAGAATCAGAAAACAATTAAAATTCCAATAAAAATAAAAATATAAGCTTTTATCTAAAATACCATGATTTTATTATTTCCCCTTCATATGTTCACACTTTTAATAATAGAAAATTCTTTCATTTTGCCAAGAATTTAATAGTGGAAAATTATTATTTGCTGTTAAAGGACTGGTCAGAGTTGTATACTCGAGTCTTAAGCAATATCTGATTTTAAGTTTCATCCTGGTTTACCTTATTATAGGTATGACTTACATCACACTGAACTAAGTTAATGAGTTAGGTCAAATAGTCCTATAATAGGTCAGGTAACGTATAAAGTCTAGCCACCCCATCAAAGTTGAAACCGAACCAGCACATAAGGTCGGGCATGTGCATATAAATATGAATAAATATACCGTAAATCTAGAGTTTAGGTGCTCGCCTAATTCTGTTGAATAACACGGCTTGGTCAAACTGCTAAACTAGACGGGCCGGTACGGTAAAGTCTTGACAAGCATCCTGGTAATGGTTTGAATCATGAAACTAATATATTTCTATTTCGCCGCTTTGCTCTTAATCTATGGACATATAATATTTGGTTGGTGTGTTTTGTTGGTATATCTGTCTATCTAATCTATGGANAGTTCATTATACAATATTCATATCATTTAATATTCAATATCAAATATACATATTCCAATATATTGAAACTGTGTTGTGAAGTTCATTTTACAATATTCATATCATTTAATATTCAATATCAAATATACATATTCCAATTTCCAATATATTGCATCTGTGTTGTATAGTTCATTATACAATATACATATAATTCAATATTTAATATCAAATATACATATTCCAATATATTGAAACTGTGTTGAATAGTTCATTATACAATATTCATATAATTCAATATTTAATATCAAATATACATATTCCAATGGGGTAAATAACCCCAATAACCCCCCTTATATACGCCACTGTCTACAACACACATAACCCCTGCAGGGAAGGTGCATAGGCCATCATAAATGACAAATGTTGCACGGAAAATATTTCGACATGTTTTGTCAAAAATGGTGACTCTCAGAGCAACAGTTAAAGCCCAGTATTAAATAATTTGATAAAGGGATACCCACAACGAATGAGAACTCAGACTGTACAAAAATTATTTAATAATTTTTTCAGCTGTAAAATGTTTCTTCTTTGCCAACTTGATTAGTGTTATACGTTTAAATACTATACATCGTTCAGAGCAAACATCAAAATGTAATCTTCAAATTGTCATATTTCTGGGTTGTCATTAAAGTTCATTCTTTGTGGGTAACCCTGTAACTGACCGTACCTAGTTTTCCTCTTTTACCATTTAACAATGAAGTTTTAATTTCAAATTCATAATTCTACTCCACCATAATGTCTAAATAATAAATATGCCGTAGCAAGGAAACATGAAAGAACTTGAGAGACCTATTTGTAAAATATAGAATTTTCTGGTTTTTCTCTCTAATTGAGTGAAGAATAGATGTGTGAGAAGGTTCCTATTCTTCTCCTATTGTAATGGATTCATAGAAAGAATGATAAAGGATTCATATTATTGGATTCTCATCTGGGCGCTGTTACCTCAAATCTGTTCTCTCATAGTTTTATAGGAAAATATAGTTCCAGGAATATAATGGATTGGTAGGTTTAGGAGAACATGGATCCAGGAATATAATGGATTGCAGGGCTTAGGACAACATGGATACAGGATATACTGGATTGCTAGGTTTAGGACAACATGGATCCAGGATATAACGGAATGGTAGGTTTAGGACAACATGGATCCAGAATATAATGGATTGGTAGGTTTAGAAACATAGATCCAGGAATCTAATGGATTAGTAGGTTTAGGACAACATGGATCCAGGATATAATGGATTGGTAGGTTTTGGAGAACATGGATCCAGGATATAATGGATTGGTAGGTTTAGGACAACATGGATCCAGGATATAATGGATTAGTTGGTTTATGTGAACATGGATCCAGGAATATAACGGATTGGTAGCTTTAGGACAATATAGAACCAGGAATATAACGGATTGGTAGGTTTAGGACAACATGGATCCAGGAATATAATGGATTGGTAGGTTTAAAGAAAACATGGATCCAGGATATAATGGATTGGTAGGTTTAGGAGAACATGGATCCAGGACATAATGGATTGGTAGGTTTAGGACAACATGGATCCAGGATGTAACGGATTGGTAGGTTTGGGACAACATGGATCCAGGAATATAATGGATTGGTAGGTTTTGGACAACATAGATACAGGAATATAATGGATTGGTAGGTTTAGGACAACATAGATCCAGGATATAATGGATTGGTAGGTTTATGAGAACACGGATCCAGGAATATAATGGATTGGTAGGTTTTGGACAACATAGATCCAGGAATATAATGGATTGGTAGGTTTAGGACAACATAAATCCAGGATATTATGGATTGGTAGGTTTATGAGAACATGGATCCAGGATATAATGGATTGGTAGGTTTAGGACAACATAGATCCAGGATATAATGGATTGGTAGGTTTAGGACAACATAGATCAAGGAATATAATGGATTGGTAGGTTTAGGAGAACATGGATCCAGGATATAATGGATTGGTAGGTTTAGGACAACATAGATCCAGGATATAATGGATTGGTAGGTTTAGGACAACATAGATCCAGGAATATAATGGATTGGTAGGTTTAGGAGAACATGGATCCAGGATATAATGGATTGGTAGGTTTAGGAAAACATAGATCCAGGATATAATGGATCGGTAGGTTTAGGAGAATATTGATCCAGGAATTTAACGGATTGGTAGGTTTAGGAGAACATGGATCGATG